AGGAAGGAAGGAAGAAGGAAGGAAGGAAGGAAGGAAGGAAGGAAGGAAGGAAGGAAGGAAGGAAGGAAGGAAGGAAGGAAGGAAGGGTGGGTCCTACGGCAGAATGAGGTCAATAGTCAAGGGAACAAGAAGGAGACAAGACTTATGAGACAATGTGCCCGAAGGGAGACTGCAGAAGTCCTGGAGAGTGACCCTGTCGGACCCTCCCTACTGAGGTTGATGAAGAGAAGCCAGTGTGGTGAGCAACGGAGGTGCATCAGAATCCACTGAGCAGTTAGGAGGCAGACAGCTGGATGGTACAGGGCCTTTTAAGACAACTCCCCCACCCCCCACCCCAAGTAAAATAGAATCTCTGGAGGGTTTTCAGCCAGTGACATGACTGGGCCCCTATCTGAAAGGACTCGTTCTGGCTATGCTGGAAGTCCCAGGAGGCAGGTTAGCGATGCCAGCCACAATCCAGGTAAGCAGGCAAGAACATCTCCCTCACTGGGCTCTTTGTGAATTCTACTTCAACCCACATGGGAGTCAGGAGAGCTGGAGAAAGGAGCAGGGAGCATACACTAGACCAGAGCTCCTGGCGGGCAAAGCCTGACCTTCTGTCCTACCAATGGGCCAGTCTGCCACACTGCCAGATACCTATATTGCCTTGCCACCCATACCTAGCATTCACTCTTCAGCACCTCTGCCTCACCCCTGATTTCCCACCCATGTCTTCTTTACAGATTAGCCTGGAAATCATGACACCTCCCACTCCCCAAAGCTAGGTCTGATGCCTCCAGCACATTTGAGACATTGTGTGTGTGTGTGTGTGTGTGTGCGCGCGCGCGCACGCACGCACGCACGCGTGCACGTGCGTATGATCTGTTGCAACGCACACGCATGCACATGCTGGTCCTGGGCCTTTTACTCAGGGCCTGGGCACTGTCCTTGAGCTTCTTTTGCTCAAAGCTGGCGCTCTACCACCTGAATCATAGCTCCACTTTAAGGTTTTTTTAGGGGAAGGGGGTGGTGCTCAATTGGAGAGAAGAGTTCTCACAAACTGGCTTCCCACTGAGATCCTCAAGATCTCAGCCTCTGAAGTAGCCAGGATGACAGGCATGAGCCAGCAGCACTGGCATTGAAGCATTTTTTTCCACTCATAAACTTACACTTCTGTATCTCTCACCCCCTCAACCTCTCCAGATCTTTCGGGGGTCAAATCACTTTATTCTAAAAGAACAGCCTAGGCTATACAGCACAGTGACTAGCCCTACTTATGGTTGAAAGAATGACAGATGAGAGGAAGTAGATTTGACCCATTGCTCAGCATGCCCAAGACCCAACAGGGTCCACTCTCCCCAGGCCCAGAACAGCAAGATCTACAGCAAGACAGAGCCAGGGCCCCATCCAGAGCAAGAAGAGCTGTGGTTCCACGAACTCAACACTCAGAAATTAAAACCAAGTGCACCCTAGGGTCTCAGCACCCTAGCAGAACCCTTTCCCATTGCCCAGCTGGTTACAGCAGGTAAGACCTAAACATTGCCTAGCTGGTTACAGGAGGTTAAGACCAAACCAAAACCCACTCAGGGATGGCCAGCAGAAACAGGGCCAGATTCTTCCTCCACAAGGGCCGGGCCCCTTGATCTGTTTGCAACCGCTGCTTGGTCCCTTGGCTAAAGCAACAAGTCCCTTCCACTCATCCCCCAGTGTTCCCATCTCTTAGATCGAGCTAGAAATGGACCCGTACCCCTAGGCCCAACCTGAACAGGATGGTAAGGCTCTGGCCAGAGCAGAAGACAGAAGGGGTGCCCACAACTACACACCGAGGACCTTTGCATATTCAATGGAGAAAGACCAAGAGGAGTTCTGAGATCAGAATTAAAATCTTTAATACAAAATGCTTTTTTTTAAGATATATCTGTATTTCTTTGTTGTTGTTTAAAAATAAATATGTACTACGGAATATCTCGAAAAACTGCACTAGAGACAAAGACGTGATGTTAATATCTTTCCCCCCCCAACAATTATTACGGATAAACAGTAGCACCAATAAATAAATGATAACAAATATTAAAATTAAAAAAGGAGAGAGATTTAGTATGTAGGATTCTCTATTTTTCTTGTTTTGTTTTTACATATAAAAAACAGAATAGCAATGTCTATTTTATCAGAATCACATATATACATAAACATATATATATATATATATTTATATACAAACACAAGTTGCCAAATATATATATAGTATGTAAATGTATATTGAAACCTTATTTCGAAGGAATGTGTGGTGAGAAGCTGGGGAAAGGAAGGGCAGAACTGAGTGTTAGCAGTATTAAATGTCTGCCCAGAGTAAGCTAGTAACTTTCACCGATCAGGCAGAGACAGACTGGAAACACGAATTTCATACACACAAACCGGTACAAACAAAGAGAGCGCAAGAGAGAGACAGAGAAAGAGAAAGAGAAAGAGAGAGAGAACAAGAGAGAGCAAGAGATACATCTTATAAATAGTTGAAATTAAATATTAACCAAGAATACTGAAAAAAACCCTACTCTTTAATTAAATTAACTGTTTTTAATTTCTAATTAAAAAGATATATTAAATAAGTACCGCATATAAAACACTTTGTCTCTTTTCTCTGCCTCCGCAGATGGGCAGGCGGGCCTGGCCATCTTCTCTGTGCTTCGGGAAGGAGTGGGGATAGGAGGGGGAGGGCTACCCACTCACACACTCACCCACTCACCCACTCTCTCTCTCACACACACACACACACACACACAGCCAGGTCTCCTGGGGACAGAACTAGTGGTTTCAATGGTCTGAGGACATGAAGGCCACCTGGACAGCAGTCTGGGAAGCAGGGCAGGGAGAGGAGGTTGGGTCTGGGGAAGAGTGACCATCACAGGCTGCTTCTTCCACCAAAATCTGTTCTCTTCGCCAGGACGCCTGTCGAGCGGCGATGAGAACAGAAAAGGCTGCCCAGACCCTGGGCTCTTCTGGGCAGTGCCCCTGGGGCGGGGGGAGGGGGAGAGGGGGTGAAAATGGGGGACAGGATGCCCTTGCAGCATGTGGCAGGTATCCACAAAGCACGCCATTCTCCTGAGGCTCCCCCAAAGTCCTGGGGTGAGCCAGCATCCTTGTCCCTGCTCTCTGCCATCTGTCTTTCTGTCCTGATTGCCTTGGGGTAGAGGCTCAGGCCCAGGGTTGGGTTTGTCGATGTTCCTGGAAGTTGCCCCCAGACCCTGGCCTTTGCGCATTCATTCCCAAGGAGAAGAGAGGGCCGCCGCCTCCCTCAGAGGGACAGAAGATCGCTCCAGAGTCGCTCCTTCCGTCCTGACCCATCACGACGTGGGATCGCCTCCCGTCTCAAGTCCACAGCAGTCAAAATACATCCAGTGAAGACACCAATAACATTAGCAAAGTTAACTTAAAAAAGAATATATATATTTTATATATATATAAAATATATATATTTACTTTTATATATAATATATATATATATAAATGTATGGGTGTGGGGTGGGTATGTCTACAGGAATCCCAGAAATAAAACTCTCTCTAATCTTCCAGGCTCGGTGATTTAAGCAGCAAGAAAAAAAAAAAAAAACAATGAAATGACAAAAATCCAATCCAAGAGGGACCGAGCTGGGTCCCGGCCCAGGGAACGCATCTTGCCCTTGGGACCCAGAGTGCTCTGCGCAGTGTCCTCTTCCTTCATTTCGTTTAGGTTTCTGGATTAAGGACTGTTCTGTCCGTGGTGACTGGTGACGGGTGTGGTGGTGGTGGTGGTGGTGGTGTGGTTAGTCGTTCTGGATCAATCTTTCCTGGTGAGAGGTCTGGTTCCCGAAACCCTGAGGGAGGCTTCCTTCCTTCCCACAGCCTGGCTCACCGCCTCGGCTTGTCACACCTGAGACACACAGCAAAGGACGGGGTTAGGGCTGGGAGGACAGGCCTGCGCTGCAGGAGTGGAGGACAAGAAAGATGAGGTGGCCCAACAGAAGCCCCAGTGGGAGGGAGAGGCCCCACCTGGCCTCGGGGAGCCCTGTGGAAGCAGCAGCTCTACTCAGGGACCCCCTGCCACTCCCATGCCCACTGGAGTTTTGCGGCCCACATGAAACAGGACAGACATGGAAACACCTCACAAAGCAATGAGTGGACAAGTACTGAGGAACGGCGTTATCCCTAATAGGGCTGGACATGGTTAGAGGGGAGACCTGCAGTTTTGTCAGCTCAGGTTTTAGGGACAGACTTGGGGAAAAGTGAGTGTGGAGGGGGTGTGGTGGCCAGCGAAGGGAGCTGCCCAGGGGACAGAAGATTCCCAGAGGAGGGGATTTGGAGAGGTGTGGGGCGCTAGGAAGGAGAGAGACCATCTGTTCCCTGTGGAGCTGGTCGGGCTTGAGCTGCCTGGGAAGTGGCAGGCCCAGCAGGCCCCGCAGGCCCCCGGCCTACGGGTAAACTTGGGCTGGGGACACAAGTCGTGGCATCAGTCAACCTCCAAGAACGTTCTCGCGTGTTCCCATCCCTAGCTGACTCTGTGTTCCCCTCCCTGCTACTGAGGGAGGGAGTCCTGGTTTGGAGTCCCAGGAACTGAAATTCCCAAACCCAGCTGGAGTCAGCTCACACAACCAGAAAGCCCTCAAATGTCAAGACCTTGCTTTCTCCCCACCAGAGAGACCCACCGGACACACATCACCCAGACACCGATGCAGGCGTCTGAAGACTACCAGCTGCTGTGCGTTCAGCCACGCACCTGGCCCCACCACAGACACCTGGGGCCCAGGCTGGAGGAGTTTGCAGTTAGTGGCGGTAGTGGGTACGGCCTCTCCCTCCAACCACTAGGGGGGACACCTGGAAAGGTGGAGGCCATGCAGATTGACATTGTGGTGCAGGATAAAGGAATCTGGTATCTCAAATGCCAAGCCATCTACAATGGGCAGAAGAACAGTAAAGACCTGTTCAGGGAGCCCCAGTCTAAGGGGACACGGCCTGTCCTCCAGGGTACAAGGCCCATGTCAGAGGCAGTGCTGAAGTCAAGAACGCTTCCTCATTGCAGACATCCACCTGGAAGGACTGTTTCTCAGCATGAGCATCGGAGACAGTACAACCACATCGGCCACAGCCACGAACAGCAGGACCACAGGACATGACACACAGCTGGTGTCCACACCACTGGACTACCCACTCAGACAGCCAGGGCCACCTCGGAGCGGCCCTGCCAGAACAGGGCCCGCACACCCCCAGGGCTTCAGGAGCAGGGAAGACGGCAGCCACCAGGCAGGGACAGCAGCTAGAAGCCGAGCAAGCAGCTGGCCCCTCAACAGGCATGCTCTGTGTATGGTATCTCTCTCTCTCTCTCTCGCTCTCTCTCTCTCTCTCTCTCTCTCGCTCACGCTCTCTCTCTCATCCCATGTCTTCAATGTGCCTTTCTGACTCGCTCGCCCTCTGGGAACCAACCTGCAAGTACGTTCGTTTAACTCAAGCTGCCTCGCCTTGCAACGCGAGTCTGTGTTTTTGCAGGAACATTTACACGTCTGCGGATCTTGTACAAACAAATGCTTTCTCCGCTCTGAGCAAGGCCCACAGGGACTGCAAAAAGGCAAAAGGAAAGACATCTAAGCTAGAGCATCAGCGGAGAGAGAGAAGAAAAAAAAACCCCATGCAACACCCCTGCCATGTCCACTGTGGCCCCCCACACCCTCTCTGGGTGGCCCCCACACCCTTCCACGCCCTGGAAGGATCAGAGCGCTGCAGCAGAGGAAGAGAGAGCGCGAAAAGAGGCGGCACTGGCCAGGACGCCTGTCTACAGGAAGAGGAGGGCGCAGGCGGGCAGAGAGTACAGGAGAGGGCTGCCGGAAGGGGCGGTGCTATGCCCTGAAGGACATGGGGCCGGTGTGCTCATGTCCACTTGACATCGGGCCCCAGCGGCTGCTGCTGCTGCTGCCTTTGAAAGACCACACTTCACACTCTTCACCTGGGGGGGGGGGAACGTGAAATCTCCCCGGGGAAAAACGGAAGCCCCGGCCCTTCTACCACACGAGGACCAGCACAGGGCATGATGGGAAGGCAATCCAGGCACTTTGGCCAGCAACCAGGCCACTGGGACTACAGGGCCCCTCTCCAAACCCAAAAGACACAGCATCCATACAGGGAGACACTGCGGGCACCTTGTGTGGGGCTGGAGTAGGGTGAGTCAGCCTCCAGCAGGCCAGAAGCACTGAGAAACCAGGGCCCTGGAGTCAGAACAAGAGGGGCAGCCATGCCTTGCTTGACCCCCCCCAAGCTCCACCTCCTGCAGGCCCCACCCTTCCCCAGCTGCCATCACACTCCCTCCTCACACCAGGTCTGCACGCCCTTCGGCTCTCAGCTTCCAGAAAGCGCAGAAGCCCAGAGCAGAGGAAGCCTGCTGGGTGAGCGGCCCCAATGCCCAGCACCCATGCCAACATGGGCCCGCCACCAGCGCCCAGTGGGTGAGAGAAAGTTGGTGCCCAGCCAAAGCACCCTCCCTGAGTCTTCCAGGCCCAGGACACCCCCCCAACCCCCACCATGCCCTGGGTGTTAACCCTGGACCAGCAACACCACCAAGTCTCCCCATTGGTGCTCATTAGTGGAGTGAGTGAGAGAGAGACACTGAGGCGAGGAGGGGAGGGCAAGAGCTGGGGAAGACCACGGGAGGGAGGGCAGGGTTATGGGGAGCTGCAGGCAGGGGGGTTCACTGGAGGCCAGGGAGACCCCCCGGACATTAGACAGCAGAGCGCGGGCACCAACGTACACGCTCCAGCATTTATACCGGGATTTCTTGCGCTTTCGTTTTTGCCCCTTTCCCTTTCCTCGAACTGATTTTCTGGAAAATAAAATAACAGAGACAGACAGAGAGAGAACAAGCAGGGATAGGAGAGCAAAAGAAGCCCTGTGGGGGGCAGGACGCAGGCCGAGCCCCGGAGCAGGCAGCAGGTGAGACAGGCAGCTTTGGCGAAGGCTGGGCACTCCTGCACCCCGTAGCTCCGCCTCCTCCTGTTGCCCAGCCTGCTGGCATGCTCTGGGTGGGGACTAGAGACTGCAGGGCACAGGACCGAAGGGCCTCTATGCACATGGGGCTCTCCACTCTGGCAAGGTACAAAGCCCCTCTGGAAGGTTCTCTGCTCAGCAGGCCTGTGGCCCTGAAGGCCAAGAGGCCATAAAAGGTAGACATTGAGGTCAGCTTCCTGGTCTGATGGAGCAGAGGGGGACAGGCTGTGCTTCAAGTACCTTCCAAGGACAACAGCAAGGGATCCCTGCAGAGGCCCTGCCTCGGGGGCCCCTGGGGCGGGGCGGGGGGGGGGAGGCGGAGAGCAGCTTCCTTGGTAGCTGGCACAAAACCCAGGGCAGGACATGAAAGACCCAGGTCTGCCCAGCCCTAACCTGCAGGGGCTGGCTAACTCACAGCCCTGAGAGGGGTGGCCTGGTTAGGGGAAGGGAAGGAGGCCAAGGACCCCTGGGGCACTGAGAAGCCAGTTCTTTGTGCAGCCTGTCTGAGCCCAGGCAGAGCCCCTGGATTTCTCTAAGGGCAAAGCAGGCATTAAGGGGCATAGATAAGGGGGACAGGACGTAGCCTGCGCCTCTCCAAGGAACCAGCACTCTCCGAGCTTGCCAGGCCCCAGAGAGCGCTCCTCAGCATGTCTGTCACAGGGAAGGAGGAAGAGGAAAAGGGTCCTGGGCAGAGGTGAGTCTGTCCCCTGTAGGAAAATGTACTGGAAGGATGGAAGGAAGCGGGCCTCTGCTTGCATGCTGGCTTGTTTGCTTGCATGCGCTCACGTGCTCTCTCTCTCTTTCTGTCTCTGCCTCTCTCTGTCTCTCTGTCTCTGTCTCTCTGTCTCTGTCTCTGTCTGTCTCTCTCTGTCTGTCTGTCTGTCTGTCTCTCTCTCTCTCTCATCGAGACTATTTCCCCAGACCACTGCTCTGTCCTGTCCTGGAGGCTGGAAGGGGCAGCAGGGTTGAGACTTAGGAACATCACAGGGCGCATCAGACAGGAAGAGGAAGGGGAAAGGCATGGGTACTCTCTCTCAGCCTCTCCTTCTCTGAAAACCAACCTCACCAGTGTCCCCTGCCTGTCCTGTCCTGACCCAATGTTCTACATGGAGCAACCGGAAGCCAAAGGCCAGGGCCAACACTGCTACTTTGCCTCTATAGCAGACAGGGCTGGGTGTCTGCTGCTCTAGGAACCACGCACCAAGAAACCCGGTGCCACCCCAAACCCAACTGCGCCGCCATATTCGCCATCCAAACGGGTCACTTGTCCCGACACATCAAAGCTGGCTTCTCTGATGCCCACTCCCTCTCCTCCAGAGCCAGGGGAGCTGGTGCTCACCCTGCCCGCCCGGCACGCAGGGAATCAACAGCACCTCAGTGCTGCAAGGCAGCAATACTGTCCAGGAAGCCCCAGGCTCCAGGCTGGATTTCTTCACTACACCTGGAGCCCGGAAGCCGGAAACTGACTCTGTCCCACAGCTGCCACCACAATCCGATCCCCAACCAGACCAACTCAGTGACCCCAGGAGGCCATCAGAGCCCGGGGCAGAGGAAGCCAAAAGCAGCAAACCAAGACAACTTGGCCAAGGGGAGGGAGAAGTATGAATGTCATGGCCACTTACTTTTCCGGCCTTGCTCTATCTTTCTTTGGTCTGCATTGGGTAGAGAAGGAGAGAGAGAAAGAAAAGAATTAAGATGGTTTGATAATTACAAGGATAGTAATGATAATAATAATATTAGCAATAAAATCTGAACATAGTGTTTTGTTTCTTTTTTTTTTGCCAGTCTTGGGGCTTGAACTTGGGGCTTGGGCACTGTCCTGAGCTTCTTTTGTTCAAGGCTAGCACTCTACCACTTGAGCCACAGTGCCACTTGTGGCTTTTTCTGTGTATGTGGTACTGAGGAATCAAAGGGAAGGCTTCATGCATGCTAGGCAAGCCCTCTACCACTGAGCCACCTTCTAAGACTGAAACATTGTTTTAATCCCTTGAGCAGCTAAACAACTCGTAACAAAATTACGAGGTACATGCAACTATTCTACCCATTTTCTAGATGTGTACAACATGCTTAACCCTTGCACCAATCACAGCTGTTGGTGGTCTGCTGGATAAATGATGAATGGGTGCGTGGATGAGTGATCCGGTCCTCACCTGCATTCACATTTGCTGTGCTGTAAGAAGCTCATCTCTCCTATGTGCTGGCCTTGGTGAGGTTTGATCCGCATGATCTGCAGGGGAGGGAAGCAGATCACACAGGTTAGTGACCCAGCCAGCCAGACCCAGATGGGATACCCCTGGGCTCCTGCCGCTTAGCCCTCAGGGGTTCTACAGAGCAAGGTGGGCTGTGGAGGCAGGGCGACCAGGGCTCTAGCAGGAAGGAGCCTCAGGACACCCCAACTCCACCAGCCCTGCTGGCCTCAGGGAGCCTCGGCTCCTCTGAAGGACAGAGATGGCTACAGGTTGGCCAGGCTGGGAATTCAGGTCCTGGATTTTCACCATTCTCCATCCCCACCCCTCCTTTCTCCCCTCCCCTCCCCCCCCAAGGCCTCACCCTGAACCTAGCAGTAGCTACCCAAAGGCCACCCACCCCCTATGTCTTACAGCTCTCACCCACTCTCCACCCTGTCTAGGCTGAGACACACAGAACCACACAGCACCCAGTGATGGGCTTTCAATTCTTCATGGACCAGGATCATCCAGCATCCCAAACTGAACCCCTCCCTGCAGAGAGAGCCTGCAGACTCTCTCTAAGGGACGAAGAGAAGGAAGAGCTCTGGTTTCAAGCATCAGCCCCTCCTGAGCCCAGGAGGCAAAGATCGGGGAGGCGGAGGTAATAGTCCAAGACTGGGGAACACGACAGAGTCTTCTTCCCCGAGTAGGCAAGACCCTGCCTCATTCTTCTCCACCCTGGCCCCCGACTCAGAGGCAGGAGCTGGGCCAGGCTCCAACTACCAAGAGCTTCTGAGGAAGAGGAAGGGGCCCAGACCACCTGTCCCAAGTCTGACATCCCTCCCTGTGCCCCATCCCGGACCCCAGTCCCGCAGGCGCCCACCTGCATGGTGATGTTAGACTCCTCCGTGGGCACACACTCCAGAGCCTCGTCATTGCAGCAGCCCCCACAGCGCATCAGGGGCACACAGGACGGCTTGAAGATGTACTCGATCTCATCGGGGTACTCCTGGAAGATGTCCACCAGGGTCTCGATCGGACGGCAGTAGCTGCGCTGGTAGACTTCCATGAACTTCACCACTGCGTAGGGTCGGGGAGGAGGGAAGGAGGGTGAGCCCACAGGTGCCACCAAAAGTGATCTCTACTCAATTCTGCCAGTTTCCTCCTCCTCGGGGCTTCTGAGGGCTACTCACCACCAAGTCAGCCCTGCCGATATCTAACTGACTGCCCTCCCGCTGCGTGGAAGCCCCTCCCTAAGTGTTCCACCCCTATCATAGGTAAAGGCTGGTGTCCACTCCACAGATCTCACGCTATTCAAGGTCCATCTGATCCTCTGCTTCAAGGTGACACCAGAGGGCAGTCCGACTATGGGCACACCTGCTGGGGTGGCTCTAAGCTTTGTGGGCCAGGAGGAACAACCAGGTCTGGCAAGCTACTCTGTGCTTTCCCTCAGCCATTGCTATTGGCTAGCATTACTTCCTGAGCACTTACTATGTGCTGGGGTAACTGTGTACAGTTGCTCGATACTCCCCACGTGGTATTATGTTATGGAGAACTAGAAGCTTAGAGAGACTCAGAGAGGCTCTGAAATCTGCCGAAGGCCACACTGCCAGAGTGACAAACTATTGGGCTTTGACATCAAAGCCTTCCTAAGACGACATCCCGCCCAAGGATAGAAGCTTGAGGAGGCACCTTGCCACCTGCCAGGCTCCCTCTCCAGACCAGGGCTCGGGAGGTATCAACAGGTGAAGGAGGCGGGCACGCTCCGCAGGCCCTGCCAACCGCCGATAACCCCGCCCCAGAGGGCAGACTGCTTACATCATGGAAAAACAGGGCCGCCGCTGCAAGCACCCGCCCAGTGTTTCTAGAAGCTGCTCTGGAGAACAGGGTAAAGACAGCTTTCCAGGCTGACCGCAGAGCCTGAGTGCACCAGAGCATGAAAGGGTAATTCTGGGCCACAGGGGTGGGGCCCCTGAGAATAAATAAATGCCGGACTCCAGCAAGACTGCTCCAAACTGCAGGCCCAGCCTGCCACTCCCCATCACACCCCGGCTACTGCCACATAACAAGCCTGTCCCTAAAATGAGTCCCCTGCTCTGGAGACAAGACCAAAAGCCCAGCTGGCCTGGGGGCCCCGGCCCAGGCTGACTAGATGTGACCTTGGGCCTGTCCTGTCTCTGGGCAGCCAGCGCAGCTCATCTAAGCAGGTCAGCCTGATCTCGAAAGACACGGGGAAAAGCTGAGACATGGAGCTTTGTCTCCCATCACCAGGCCTGAGAACAAGAGTTGTCTTATTCTGAGTGACACCAAGTCTGGAAGTTCACCAGGCATTAAATGCACATCCCACACAACTGTAGCCTTCTGAACGCCCAGGGCCGTCACCAAGTTTCCCCCCTGCTCCCCCTCCAAAGTGTGTGTTCTGAAAGTGTGAAGGAAGATCAGAGCCAGGATATGAATGTAACAGGTTGGTTAGGAGGGACTTGAGGAGTCAAGGAGTCCAGAGAAAGCCACAGAAAGAACAGTGGGACACCCAAGCGTTCTTCTCTACCCTCAAGGGGGTTAAGTCAAAGCAAAGCGTGATCAAAACACAGTCAATGAGCCCAGAAGGCAAAGTCTAAATTGAACAAAATAACAAAACTGAACAAGATAATGAATGCAGAATTCCTCTGGTGCTGGGGCTTGAACTCAGGGCTTGGATGCTCATTGATTCAAAGCTAGTATTTTAACGCTTGAGCCACACCTCCACGTCTAGCTTTTTTTTTTTTTGGTGGTTAATCAGAGATAATCTCACAGACTTTTTCTGCCTGGGCTGGCTTCAAACTGCAATCCTCTGATCTCAGCCTCCTGAGTAGCAAGGATTTTTAAACTGATATTTCATGACACGGGGACAGAGGTGGTCCATGTTTGTAACCCTGCCCAGGAAGACAGTAGAAAGGTCTGGCCTGAGTGAGCAATGAATGGGGTTAGGAGTCGAAGATGAAACAATCTGGACTGAGAATTCCTTTTAAAAGCTTCTCCCTAGAATTCCCAAAGCCCAGGGGAAGTGAAGGGGGGCAGCCTGGCCAGCACCGTTCAGGGGCTGCCTCCTGCAGCGAGCAGAGCTGTCCTGGGCCGGGTGCACGCTTACACGCACTCCTCCAACATCAGGCTTCCGTGGTTTTCCTTATTTACGGCAGCCAACCTTTTCTCCAGCAAACAAAGACCATTTGTCTTGCCTCTCCCAGACCACAGAGACCACTGGGAAGCCAAAGGGGGTGGGTGGCACACTGGAGTAGGGAACTGTCCGTGGCACAGGCCAGGGAGTGGCGCAAAGCCAGGCCCTGGGCCAAGGAAAGGGCTCCTGGAGTGGGGGAGGAGGAAGCAGAACCGGCTGGGCATTGCCACCCCTGGCGGCTACCACAGCCACACTGGATTTGGGTCAGAGAAGCTGGCCTACAGGAAGACCCTAGGGCCTTCCTTCCTCAGAGGGCGGGTGGGCAGCCTGGAGGAGTAGCTGCTGGCTGGAGCAGAGGCCACACTCAGTGCTGAGGAGAGCCAGGGCGTCCCCAGAGAAATGGGAGGATCCCCATACTCCAAACCACACTGGAACAAAAGGCAGGCAGAGTCTCGGGTTGGGCAGGGGGGCGGGGCGCATGGGAGATACAGCGCCCTCTGCTGGCCCAGAAGGGAAGTTCACAGCAGCCAAGGCAGTCCACAAGGGCTTTCTCCAATCCCAGAAGAACACAAAATGCCGTGGAGTGGGGGGTGGGAGAGGGTCCCGCGGCCCGTTAGGTTATCTGTCTCCCCCTGGTATCTCTAGCTCACAGGGAAAGAGCCACAGACCCCACAGATGGCCCATAGCTGGGTAGGAAATGGCACTGAACATACATCCTCCCTTGGGAGCTCAGGAACAAGGGACACCTCTCTTGACATCTGGAATCCCTGAACACCATACCTCCTGGTCTGTGTTCAATCTCTCTGGAGAAAAGTGTACTTGGCAGAAGTAAGGAAAAAAAGCAACAAGTCTGACTTCTAGTAGAGAGCTGAACAGGGAAGAGCTTTAAGAAACAGAAGGGTTAACCTGCTGCCTCCCCAACTCCTGCACACACCCAACGACTCACAACTCTGAAAAGAATCAGGTCTCTCCATGCACACTCGGGGGGGGGGTGACAGGGGACGCCCCCCCCAACCAAGAACCAGGGGACTCACCTTCACGGGTTTTCTGTTCTTCTGCCATGGGTGCAGCCTGGGACCACTGAGGACAAAACAAAGAGCAAGACGTTGGCATGGGCAGAGACGGACATGAGCAAGGACGGGGTGCAAGGACCCAGCCTTTGGGTCCCCCTCCCCCTGCGAGCTTCCCTCCCAGGCCCCCGGCTTCTGGCTTTTCCAGGCCTTGTGAGTAGCAAGGGGAATCGTCGGGGGTCCCTGCAGACCCCGAGTGCTCCCACCACCCGTGGCTTCCTCCACGGTTCAAGCCACAGAAGTTACCAGAGGTAGGGGGCTCACAGTGAAGGAGGAACACACTAGAATTTTGCACTGTGCATGTGCCGGTCTCTCCCCCACATTGCTCTCCCTACCACCCCAAGGGCCTGGTCCAAAGCCATGGGTAAGTATTAAGGTCAAATAGGAGGACAAATTTGGACTGGGGCAGGAAGGAAGGACTGGGGGCGAGAAAAACAACATGGTGACCTTCTCCTGCTGACATGACAAATACCAGGGTGAGCTGGTGTCGGGAGGGAGGGGGTGCAGGGGACCGAAGGGCACCGGCCACCCTCCCCCACCCAAACGCTTCCAGTTCTCAGGAGCACACAGCACACCTACAGGTGGCTTAGAGGAGCCGAGCCTGGGAGCAGGGACCAGGGGGAGGGAGAGTCTCGTTTTTTCTCCCGGGAGCCTGGATGCATTTCCAACACCTTGCTGGTCACACACTTCCACCTTGACCCCACCCCCCCTCGCCCGGACAGGAACTCCAAGGTGGTCTTTTCCTCCTTATGCTGCCCAGCCCCGGGGGGGCCTGGTTTGTCCCAGCCCTTCCCACTCTGACCAGATCCCCAAATCTGTGAAGGTCAACAGCACCCCACGTGGACCACACAAGAGTAAGGAGGCAAAGGCTTCCAGCCTTCCCTGAGGGGCCCCACTTCCCAGACCCCCCCCACACACACCCCTGCAGCAGACCCCTCAACTTCCCCAGGGAGGAAATCCCACAGTCTCCCTCTCTCTCTTTCTCCTCCCCCCCCTCACTGCCCCAAGGCAGCCCACCCACGTCCCCCAGCCTTGCCTTGGTGGCCAAGGTCAGAGGAAGTCCCTCTCAAGGAAAGATAACAGTTCCCCCAGCTCCCAGCTGGATGAGGCTCCCACTGGCGCGCAACGCCCCCCCAACCCCCTGGTTTCTCTACCTCAGCCCCCACCCATCCCCACAATCCAGGCTAACATTCTCCCTAGACCGTCCACTCCTCCAGAACCCCAGTGAGGAAGGGGAACAGCAACTTTGTGCCCCCTCCCAGGCTGGGGGGGGGGGCGGGAACCCACAGGAGGAGCGGTTCTAGGCAGGGAGGGGCCAGGTGTCCTTCTCTGGGGGCCTCTGAAGGTCACACTGTGGCCGGCCAGCCACTCCTGCCCCTCCTCCCCACTGGGAGGCCTCGAGCCAAGGCCCTTTGTGCCAGGGTCTGAGGAACTCGGGTTGCACAGGGACCCCTGCCCATTTCCTTCCTCCTGGTGTCCTCTCCAAGGGGACCCTGCCCTTGTGAGCGGAGGGAGAGGGAGGCTCGGCGGCTCGGAGCAGCAAGTTTGGAGTTCTGAAAAACCACCTGCTCCAGCGCCCGGTCCTGCAGGGGCTCCTGCCAAAGGGGCAGGAACGGCTCTTCCCAGGCTGCGGGGCCGCAGCCCATTTCAAAAGGGGGAACGGAGGGGGTGGGGTTTTACCCTCCACTGACCCCCACAAAAGCTTCGCACAGCTCCCTCGAAACGGCGGTGGGAGAGGGAGAAGCCCCGGGCCACCAAGTGGGGACTTTCTACAGTTTCCACAAGGCACAAGGGTGGGATCTGGCACCCCCGCTTCTGACAGCTCCCATCTCTCTCTCTCTGGCCTCTGGGGCAGGAGGGGCCGAGAGAAACGAAGGTCGAAGGGGTGCTAAGGATCCCTCCACTGGCTAGTAAAGAAACGGGGCTGGGGGGAGGGGTCGTCAGGGTCCCCGGGCCGGGGCTGCCGCGAGAGGTCACCTTCCCGCGGAGGGCAGGCGGGGGAGGGGCGCCGCCCGCGGCCCCGGGCTCCCGGCTCC